GCCTATAAAATAGCAAATTATCAGTGATTTTGAAAATAATTTATCACAGATAATTAGTTCGGTGAAATATTCCGTCAATAGATCAGTGATTTTTCACAGAACATCAGTTCGTACCAATCAACAAATTGTCAGAGAAGTGAAAAACACCCATTTAGGAGTTCCACGGAATTGGTGAGAGGGTTACCGGAAAACGTCAATAAAGCCAATAATTTCCTGAAAGGAATCAGAAAGCAAAATTAGTTTTCACAAAAGCTCATATTAATTGAAATCCGGCGCAATGAACAAATATTATATTCTCGGATGAATTAAACATTAATATTTAAGTCTCAGACCCGAACATATTTGGGGTGAGAGGACCCATAAGTGAAAAACTCAGGCGTCAGTATTGTAAGGGTACTGTGAGGCGTGGAGGTGGGTCATTAGCGGTATTGGACTGTTTTTCTGGGTAGTAATGGATCGGATTGTTTATACAAATTTGTTAGAAAACGCAATAGTTTCCTTCGGCTTCTGGGTGTTTCAGCTTGACAATAACCACTAAAGGAGTCAAAAATCATGATTTAATCGAAAGAGATCCACAAACAAACACAAACTCTTCCCAAAAGTTCAGGATGCGAGGAATAGCATATCCGAGAATCAAATTGAGCTTCTTAAAGATTCGATGCCTCGTAGGTGTCCATTCATACTTCGAAGCAAATAAAGTCTTTGTCTTTTAACAAAAATATAAATTTCAGTAGTGTTTGGCGGGTTATTTGGGATACCATTTGTATTTTGTTTTTGCAAAATAGTCAGGCTTAATCCCAGTTTGTTGTTTTTATAAAAATACAACTATTTATTAGTGGGGAATGTATGGCATTGTCCGCCGATGGATAAGGCAGGGAAGACTATAGTTTCGGATCTCGCCACTGATCCTCATCAGTTCCCTTAGTTTTTTGTTGGGATATTCTCCCCAGAAGCTATAGCTTCGAAACTATAGTCTTCCCTGCCTTACCCCTCGGCGGACAATGCCATACATTCCCCACTAATAAATAGTTGTATTTTTATAAAAACAACAAACTGGGATTAAGCCTGACTATTTTGCAAAAACAAAAATATAAATATTTACCACGGACGGCTTGAACTTCAGAATGTAATTGTATTGAAAAATTATTCCTTTGGTAAAAGTATATGACTCGGCATACACGTAAGTATGCTGTTAAGAAATGTTGGTCAGATTTCTGCATAAATTCTGTTCAAAATTTGGTAAACACTATGTTAAACCGCATTCTGTCTGTTACTAAAATAACGGTGGAAATGCTAAATATTAATTTATTTATAAAAATATTATGAAGTTTATTTTTAAAATATTTTTTTATTTTAATGTGAGTTACACTCAAATGATTTTCATTCCATATTTTGCATTACTCTTAGTTTTTTCAAAATGTGTATGAAAAATGTTTTTGGTTTATAGTTGGGCCCAAACAAATGTCGACTACTGTGTCATAGGGTGGCCATCCTAAAAAAATATTATCAATTATTATCTTCTTCTGTATTCTTTATTAATGCCCCGCCAAATTTTAGGTATTTTGAACTTTGCAAATTTGGTAACCAAAAGGAATTTGGCATTACAAGTTGTTGGTAAATAAAAACATCTTCCCAGAAAAATTTCAAGAGCCCCATATGTAGGTCCAGCAAATATGAAGTAGCCGTAACTTCCCATCGAAATACCTATGCATTCCGGATGAATAAAAATTTGTTCACAGAAATTGTTCAATATAGGTCCATGTTTTGACATACAGTCGAGTACGGTTATAACGAACAGGGCTTATAACGAACTTTCTTTATAGCGAACACATTTCCTGCTTTACTAGGTTTGGCCTTACCAAGGACATAAGAAACTAATTTGCTTGGTCCCTACTAGTTCGCTATAACCGCAATTTACTGTATTATGAATGTTTGCGCCGTATTTTCGTAACCATTGACTGTAATTTTCATTTTCCCATAAAAAGGTATGGGCCGATTTAGTGCATTTTGAATATCTACCACATTATGTATAAAAAACTTAACTAATTTATTTAACGTGTTTACATAGTTGTTAGAATTGGGCAATATAGGTCACGTAAATGATCGATTCTCGTTCCTTTTTTTTAATGAAATATAGTTCCGACTCCTAGATAGTTCCTTTGAAACTCTCTCTTTCAGCGCTTTTTTTTCTCACATACTCAGTTCCGTGTGGATTTCCTAATGGATGAATAAATTGAAAATTGTGCAAAAATGAACAAAACTTGATTTTAAATCATTTCTATTTTGCAGAACATTCAAAAAAATGTTTATACAGTAGAATCACGATATACCAGTAGAATCTCGATATATATCTCGTCAGCCCTCATAGTTATATCGAAAATATCGTTATACCAAGTGGCATTTCTTCTTAGAGAAAACAGCAGAAAAAATTTATATTTTAATTCGTTTTTAAATATTTATTTTTATTGGTATTTTATATAAATAAAACAAGTAAAAAAATATCAGTCGGTGTTGCCGACAGATATATTTCCCCAGCCTATGGTTTGTGGTGGTCTTCGGAATAACACACAGATTTTATTATTAGCTTTATATAAGAAATATGTTTTTATCAAAGAGTTTTCGGATTTAATGTTGATCAAGTTTTATAAAATATTGACCATTTGTGAGGGAGGTACCGGAAGGAGTGGACTACTAGGTTCCATCTTCGGACTTAATCTAGACTTAGTACGAAGATAATGGGTTGTGCAACATTGGGTTCAAATCGGACATTCTATTCGCCTGATATTGGAGTTACAAATATTGAAAATTTTGACTATTTTTGGGGGAGATACCAGAAGGAGTAGACCAATGGTTCCCATCTTCGGACTTGATCTAGGGTTTGGTAACGATAATAAGTTGTGCAAGTTTTGGTTAAAATCTGATATTCTATTTGCCTGATTTTTCATTTATAAATATTGAAAAATATGAACATTTTTGGGGGAGGTACAAGAAGGAGTAGACCAATGGTTCCCATCTTCGGGCTTAATATAGACTTAGTAAAGATAATGGGTTTTGTAAAATTGGATTCAAATCGGACATTCCATACGCCTGATATGGTATTTATAAATATTGAAAATTTTGACCCTCTGTGGGAGTTACCAAAGGGAGTGGACCAATAGGTTTCATCTTTTTACTTGATCTAGGCTTGGTAAAGATAATAGGTTTTACAAAGATTCGTTAAAATCGGATTGTCCGTATGCTTGTTATTATAAAATTAATTTTGTGCACAATTTTGCCCATTGGTCCACAAGGAGTGGACCAATGGGCCAAATCTTCAAACATGATCTGGGCCCCATCTTCAAACATGACTGGTCGTTCTCTAGATTACAATGGTATATACGATTTCTTTTTTTGCAGTCGATTACAAAAATTGTACTCGAGCTTGACTACGCAATACTGGTGTACAACAAATTGTACAATTGGGAATTATTGAAAACTTTTTGTTCGTTTTTAGTTGGATTATAGTTCATTGTCTATTCATGTAATGTATTTTCAAGAATGTTCTCCTGTATTTATCATTTGTAAAACTCATAAGACCCTATGTTACTTTCTTTCTCATTTGTAACAAATTATAATCGATTATAATCAAAACCAATATATGCTTCAGTGCAAATTAATTTGAAAAAATATTCTATTTAACAAATTTCAACGTTTTCCACTTGTTTTTATAAATTCCAATGTAATCCAAATCCTTATACTTTCGTATACAAAAATATCACCCATGCCAATTGTGATATGACTTTTCTCTGTTCAATATGAAAATAGATATTCCTTTTAGTTTTTAATAAATTTCTTCTAAAATTATTTTTTTAGAATTGTCTTTTTTATTTATATATACATAAATATACCAAATAGTTTTAATACCTACTCAAAGTTGCCAATATACATATATGCATCTGTGTATGTATATATATTTGTTTGTACTTTGTAATAAATATCTCAGCATCATATCAATAAATATTTCCATTATCACGAAATATATATTTTTGTCTACGTATTTTTTTATTATTTTGTTCTCTTTTTGTTTTTTTACAATCAGGTGACAAAACAGAAAGAAAGAAACATAAAAGCAAAAACAAAAAATATTGATTTTCCTCTTAGTACTGACAATCTTGATATTACAATTTTGAATTTTTTTTTTTTTGTATTTTTTTACAATTCTTAATATTACAACAGAACAAAAAATGAAAAGAAAACATAGTATTTGTATTTAGGTGTAGTAGAAAGGCTATACACTTTGGGACTTAATATCTAAGGGAAAAATTACAATAACAACAAGTGTAAAAATAGTATTTTCTTATTTTGCTCACATTCACATTTATCATCATCATTTCTTTTGTTACTATTTTTTTGTATTTAATCTGCAAGGATTCTAGACATTTTATTATTTTACTTAAAAAATATAGTACAGATAACAATTTTTTAATTTTTTTTATTATATTCCCTACTTATGAAATTCTTGGTATTTCGTTTAGTGTGTGTTTTTCAATTTAATTTATATTTTTCACATTAGCTTTTTGAACTAAAATCTAAAAAAAAAATTGTTCACATAATCATGGCATTTATTTCGAGTTTTGGGAAGGGGGGACATTTTCTCTTTTTTTGTCATTTGTGAAACCAATTTTGATGACTTAGTCCTTCTTCATTTTCCGTTTTTATTATTGTTTATTACCATTCCCACCGATTTAGGCATTTAGGCAGCCATCAAAGCTCTATTCGAAGCTCGTTGTTAGTAACTCTGTGGTGTATTTTTGCTTACTTTGTTTCCTATTTATAATTTACGGGAGGGGGTGGAGGGGTTTTCAGGTAATTTGCACTTAATAATCATAATTTTGTTTAAATTATATTTTTTTGTTTTGTTAAAAAAATGTTTAACATTTATACGAGGTAAATTTGCAACTACAGTTATTCTTTTATAATTTATTGATGGTTGGTTGTTGGTTTTTTGTCGAAGAAGCAATTCTTCTCCGTTTAGGCCATTCATCAATGCCATGCGAATAGAACATGACTAACTAACAGATATCCTGTGGATACGATAATGCTACCGATCATTACGGGAAAACCAACTCTGCAATGGAATAAAATGTGCGGTGATAAATTAGAGCTATGCTTTTAATTTTCTTTTTTCAAATACTTACTTAAAGAATTGTAAGAAAGTAAATTTGTAACCGTGTTGCTCAGCAACACCGGCACAAACAACATTTGCTGAAGCACCAATGAGAGTACCATTGCCTAGATGGGAGGAGAGAAGAAAACAAGATTTTTGATTGTAGTTTTGAAAAATAAAATAAATATGCAAATTATGACTAGGACAAAAATTATTAATTATATTGGAAGAGCGAAACTGACCCGGGCAAACTTTGATTTGCCTTCAAATTTTATTTTCACTGCAAGTCTGCAAAGTCATGGCAGATTTATATTTAGGAGAATAATGAAAGGTACACTAAATCGAATATTGCACTATATTTCGGACAAGCTTCAAATTATAAGAAACACTCCCCACGCTTCATAGAGCATGTATAAAGTTTGGTCAAAATCGTTGCAGTAGTAATTGAGTTACGGTGCAAAAAAAAAACTAAATATTGCGCCATCTGTCGAATGAACTTCAAACTACACAGAATCACTTCTCACACGCCATAAAGTTTGGTCAAAATCGGTGCAGTAGTTTTTGAGTTCACGTAATTTTTTATATATATATAGAGAAGAGATTTGTAATTTTTAACAACAAGGTATCCTTATCTGCATTCCAAGTGCTGCCGACAAGCGACTTGAGAATCTCGTTCCTACTTTTCAACTTATCGCAGATAGCTGTGGTTTGTGCGGATTTGAACATTTTTTTGAGTAGTAAGTGGTCGGAATTGTGTGCCCATCGACCTGCACATTCAATGATATTCTCTTCAATGATGTCAATATTTCGTGGCGGATATTTTCATATTCCTCGAGTGAAAGAAGGCTGCTAACTCGCCGAGATAGGCGTTCAATCTTATACTATGTCCCTAACTATAGCACCCGACGCCATGATCTTACAATCATCTGCATACGTAATGATCCCAATACTGTTCTGGAGATATCACTCCACCCTTCGGAACTCCCTGCATCATTCTACGGGGTTTAGACTTCTTATTCTGGAAACCACGTTCGACTGGCGTCCACACATACAATTTATTATTCAACGATTCAAACTTGGACGGAGGATGTCCTTAAACAGCTGTCACACTTTTTGAGGACATCGAGAACACTTTGCGGTGTGAACGGCTGGTTAAGTCCTCGACTTATATGTGTGGAGAAGTCGTGCAACGCTGTTTTCGTTCTGTGTTGCTTATCGTAGATGACTAACAACTGGATAGCTTTCCCTAATGCTGGGGTGTAGGAATGCCTCGCTACTGGTGACATAAGTGACCTGCAAGAGTCACCTTCGCTAGTGTCATTGCCTGGCTTCAGTAGCGGAACTACCCTGCCCATTGTCCAGGCTTCGGAACGACGTGAGTGGCTATCGACAAATTGGGGACTTTGGTCAGGTACTCAACTCCGGGCTCGTCTAGCTGTTTCAGCAGAACCATGGTTATTCTGTCAGGGCCCATCGCTTTAGATGACTTAGCGTTACGGATTTCACATATAACATCATATATTGTAAACTGTGGTGGTACCTCCTCGACGGGATAATATGTTATGCGATGTAGTACACTCCGATACGCCCTGTCGCTCTCGGGATGTTCGACAAATTGTCGGTTAAATAACTGGCGCCGTTAAATGTGACTGAGGTCTTATCTTCCTTTTTACCAGAGTTTGAAATCGATTTAATTGTGGGTAGATGGTCAGAGCCAAGATAAATTCCGGGTTGCCAGTCGACTTCATTTATCAGACCTTGTGACGCAATGGTTATGTGTGTGACACTCTCCCTTTATTCAGGTGGGTGCATCCTCATTTACCGTGCAAAACGTGGAGCTATCAATATGCTCTGCCAGCACTGTTCCCCTCTGGACATTACCTAGAATCGAATGGCACAAATCATGATGAGCATTGAAATCCCCCAGTATCAGACGTTAGGCGAATAACGCGATTCACAGATATTAATCCGTGGTATATACACGTTAAGCAACTTTACCTCGGCATTTCCATATTTAACTGTGGCCATTTGTTCGATCAGGTGACCAATGAGACCCAATCATATAGAAACGTGTTTAGCCTCACACCTTTAATGGAGATACCAAATTGGTGTAAACCGCCAGTTAATTAGGTAAACCACATTTAAACTAAGGCTGGTTGTAGATCGCAAGAGAAACCTACATTCGGAACCTGTAAAGCCCCACTCTCTCTACTGAATAAATAAATGCAAACAATGCGGGAATTATATCAAACTATTTTTCATCCACTGCCAACCCTAAATGACAATTTTAGTCACTTCGTGGCTATACATTAAAAACATGGCTATACATTTAAAGTATCTATAATTGGTACGACTACGTTATTTTGAAAAGTTGACTTCGACTGTTTATACAGATTTCAATATGCTTTTCCATTAAACATTATTTCGTACACTCATTTGAATTTAATTTGAAAATTTCATTTCCACTTACCTCCCAGACATGCTCCAAATGCCAGAGCCCAAACCAATGGCTGTAGTGGCAAATTTAAGGTATTATTTTGAGCTAATGATATGGTAATTTTGACCATCATTGTGGTCAATGGTATATTGTCTACGAAGGCCGAGGCTATAGCGGAAACCTGAAAAAAGAAAAATTAAAGAATACCGGAAAAAAATATTAACACTTAGAAATAGTGTTCCACCAGCAGAACTTACCCATAAAATAATTAACACAGCCACCATTAAACGCGACTCCTCGCCAACACCTAAAATAATATTCTCTGTCATATTGCCAATCCATTCGATAAGACCCAATTCAGAAAGGGCCTCCATCAAAATAAATAGAGCGGCAAAGAATAAAAGTGTTGACCATTCGACACGAGCCAATATGGCTTCCATATCCTCAATGTCGGCCAATATTATAAGGAATATGGCACCCAACAGGGCAGTCCACCCCAGGGAGAGACGTTGCAACTCAGGAACCGAATGTAAGAAGAACAGACTTATCACAAACACCAAGGCACAAGAGCATTTGATGAGCAAAGGTTTGTTGCGTATGGGATACTAAAGAGAGTGTGTGAGAGAGAGAGGGAGAGAAGAAAATGTAATAATACAAGAATTCAATAAAGAGTAAAATGGGGACCTACCTTTGCTTGCAAACTCTCTAAAGTTTGTTGATAATTAATGGCTGGTTCCACAGCTGTGGCCATTTTCTTTTTCAGTGATCGTTTCAAACGATTCACTTTCTTCATCAGAGTCTGACGCACCAATTCTTCATCTTTGGAATATGAAGACAAACTGGCAGCAGCTCTCTTCCATACATGGATCTCATGCCTGAGTTCTTCTACTTCGGGTGATTCTTTGAATTGCAAATCACTGATATTGCGGAATTTGTAGCGCAATTGTATATAGGATGTGAACATGACCAATGCCACACCAGGCAGCATGTGAAGGGTGAAGATGGCAAAGTTGACGCCCTAAAAATGAGATAAAATCGATCAGATCACATATTTCATAGGGAATGCCCAAGTAGCACTTACATTTTTCGAAATGAAACTATTGGAGGCAATAATAACATTTGGTGGATCACCAACTGGGGTCAAGGCACCACCAATATTCGAGTAGATAACCATACACATTAGTATGGGTACGGGATTTAGGGACATAACCTCACAAAGACGTATGGTAACGGGAGTCATCAGCAGGACCGTGGTTACATTATCCAGAAAAGAAGATAAGATGGCGGTGAACAGACACAAACAATTAATCAGGGGCCAAACATGTCCATTGGTAATCTGAAAACACACAAATTGAGGATAATTTGAAGAAAATACTTAGTATTTGAAAATTCCGCTCCTTACCTTATAAGCATACACAGCCAAGTAATCAAAAACTCCTGTCTCCGAAAGAATGGCCACCAAAATCATCATACCAAATAAGAGCAGTAACGTTTCCACATCGATCCAGCCCATGATGGTGACCATAGAGGGGCGTGAGTTCAATGCAGCCAAAATACCCACCGACAGGGTGGAGGCAATGATGGCAGCAAAGGTGCGATTTACAATTTCCCAAATGATCATAACATAGAGACCACACAGAACCACGGCTGCATATATTACACCTTCTTTTTTATAAATCGGTGATTCGTCAATGCTCAGCTGTAGCGGCAACTCGGCATCGATATTCGACACAAAGTGCAGTGACAGTTCCGTCAAATTTGTATTATTGGCATAGTCACCTTCGAGTGGTTTCAATTGGAATTGATGGGCTTTGTGTGTTTCACGTGTTGTATCCAAGAATTCCGGATATACCAGGTCAAGTTTCCAGATTTTCGAAACAATTTCATCATAAGCCCTCTCACCAGACTCATTGTAATAGATGCGTTCCACATAGATTTCCAGCAGAGGCGGTGGTCGTTGGTGTGGGTCTTGTACCGTTTCGGCTTCCTGCAGGCGGAAGGCTCCTGTTAAGCTAAGACCTATTCGGCTAAGTTCGGCGGTTGTGATGGGGAATACTGGAAATGAAGAACAATTATCAGTATTTACAGTAAAAGAATAGAATAGAAAAAATCGCTTACCTCTCTCGGTGCCATTTTTCGGCACACTTATCAGTTTCAGTTCTTCCACATGTTCATTGTTGGACATTAAAAATGCCGTAAATACACCCCACACAACCAGCAGAATAGCTATTTTGAACCATACCAAATATTTTTTAATCTATAAGAAATAACCATTAATGTAGACGTTTTTAATTCAAACTTTGAAATTCTCTCTCCATACCTTCGAATGGCCATGATGCTCCGTCTCATCCTGTTGATCTTCGTTGTTGTTTTCCACATCACGTCCGTCTAAAATACGAACTTGTCCCATTTCGTTTGTGACATTAATGCCGATTTGTGAAAATGCATTTGAATTTTTATTTTGACCGCTGCCGCCACGTACGAAGTGTACGCCACCGTCTCCAATTTTGCCATTGTTGTGGTCATGATCATCGGCATCATCGTTGGGCAATGGATCAACATCGGCAGGTTCATAGCCTAGGAGAAATAAAAATGAAAATCTATTAATTAAATATAAAATTTTGTGGGTACTTTTTTGATAGATCGTTAAATGGGTTCATGATAATCGAAATTTGGATTGTTAGTGGTTCTTTGGATTTTTACATTAACATTTTTATATTTACTCTAACGACTTATTGATTTAGTCTCTTCTTCACATCCCTTTACTTAGCTTTAAATTCTCCTTTAAATTTATGAATAGATTTTATTTGCTGAGTTATGATTCACTCACACCATACTGGAAGCTATTTTTTTCATGAAAAATTATCTGCCGTTTATTTTTAGCGGATATTGAATTTCTTCTTTGGCCGGAAGTTTGCATAACAAGCCGGTTATATGGCAACGGATGGACAAACATTTAAAGAAGACAAAATTAAATTCGTTAGCAAATACAGCTCGAAATAGTGGTGGTGGATTATTCATATTATATTTGAGTTATTCTGCTTTAAAGTGAAAATTAAAGTTCAATTTTTATAAATATATAAAATATCAACTATAAATTAAAATAGAAAAATAGATTTCCTTCAGAAAATAATTATGGCTTTTCAAAGTGGTTGCTGTTTAGGGTGGGACTGCCACCACCATCGAATATTGGCCATAATTACATTATTGATATAGTTACGGATTGATGCACATACAGAAGTCTTGCATACAACAAGGATGAGCTGTCATTTTAGCTGCGTTGGAATACACGACATTTCGGCCGTTTGACACTAGATTTACGGAGTGACTAATTCAAATTTCATAACTAAAAATCGACTGTTTTAAATCATTCACAATTGACCTGAAACGGTCAGAATTACCCAACAGGAGAGGTGTCATGTTCCACCAGAACAACGCTAGGTCACACACATCTACAGGTACTCGCCAGAAACTTCGGGAGCTTGGTTGGGAATTTATTGGTATCTAGGGAGGATTGAGTAAATCGACTACTAGAGTTTTTTGCAAATAGAGAGCAGGACTTCTATGAGAGAGGTATTATGAAGTTACCTTTAAAATTGCAAAAAATTATACAACAAAACGTTGCATATTTGGCTTAAACCGGACAATCCGAAGCATCTTAAATAAAGTCCTATAATTCATATAAAAATAATGGATTTCTTTTTCTCCAACCTAATATATTTAAAACTTTAATATAAATTTAAAAAATCAAACATTTGTTTTTAGTTGTAAAGGTACATACACATTTCGAAGTATTGAATGTTATAAATGTTTGGCTCATATAATTGTTTAAAGTTACTCATTTAATTTTTCAAAATTCTTGAAATTTATTGGTCCTATCAGGCCTAGGCAACAATGAAGTAGCATATGGGTTATGAAACTAAGAAGTAAAAATTGAAAAAAAGTCGAGTCGTTGACAATTTGTGAAAGAGATATTTGGGGAAATGGGAATAGAACTCATTTTCGGAATGAAATGGTAAAAAATATTTATTTGTGAGAAGTTGGGGTAAAATTAAAAAACTTCTTATTGGATGTACATATGTTCAAAATTGTTGACCCTTTATAGGGGAGGTACTACAGAGAGTGGATGTATAAATCCCATTTTTATATTCCAACAAAGTTTGAAAAATATATTACGATGTGCAGAGTTTTTAACAAATCGAATACCCCGTTCGCATTATAAGACATTTTCAAAACATGGACTCTTTGTGGGGGATGTACCAGAAGTAGAAGACCAATAATTCCCACATTCAAACATGATATAGTTTTAGTTAAAATTTGGTCAAATGTTGCATTCTTTTCTGTTTTAGCGGACGAAACTGCGGATACAGGAGCAGCTATCAATATGTACAAGATTTTTGGACAAGGTATCGAAAAATGTCAAAGATGGGATAAGAAGGATTGACAGGAAAATAATTTTCGACCGTCATAATAAACACAGTAATCAGTTTAGGTTTGGATACAATATTTTGAGAGGTCAAGGATATGACGGCGCGTCTAACATGTCAGTCAATTATAATGGAGTGTAGACTACTATTAAATCACAATTCACTTCTGTGGCAAACATTCATTGGATCAATTCGAGAATTTTATTGATGCAATACCTCGTATGTGTGCTGTAGTAGTTTATATATTTTTTAAATGTATAAATTTCCTATTTATTTCTGAAAGAAAAAACATTCACAGTCATTTATTCAGTTGCTTTAGTTTTGGCCATATATATATATATATATATATACATATAACAAAAAATGGGGACTGCGTTCTTATTGCACCACTCCCCCCTTTGATGCCTGGAAAGTAGGAAAAATTCTAATTCGAAAAATTTAATTCCATCATCTACTCCGAAGTGGGAATCGGACTAAAATTTTGCCTAGGCTATACATACAGTAATCAAGATTTAACTTTCTTACATTCACATTTTACGATCATACAGGCACTGGTGGCCAAACTGAAATTGTAAAGATAATAAATGTCGTATAGTTTTTTTTAAAAATAAACGTGTCAAACAAACAACAAAACATGCCAAATATTTTTGCGGTAGTCAAACATCAAAACATAACCTCTTCCCAAAGGTTTAGGTTGCAGGGAATAGTTTATCGAAGGATGCTTCGCAGATTTGCGTTTTTAATTTTTGTTTTTTATAAGTGATTAAATTAACTATTTATTTCTGAAATAAACATTCACAATAAGTTTATTTATAAAAAATTACAAGTAGTTTTAGTTGTTTTAGTTTTGGCCACCAGTGTAAGCGTTAATACACATATCAATACCTTGGAAGTTATTATCCATATATATCAAAACAGTTGCTTTTGTTTTGTTCTTAATTTTTATAATATATCGAAGTATTTCATTCACTTGTCTTACCATGTAATCGTTCATGCTCCTGGCGAAATGATGCTAAACTTGGATCCTGTCTGATACGTTCTGGCAGTGCACGCCAGACTTGTAAGGCACCTTCTGTAACTTCGCTGTAAATAGAGAAAAAGAAACACAAATCCAAAAAGAAAATCAATAAACAGCACTAAACAGGGATATGATGATAAAAAAAACACCGATTGAGGTTACTGACACACTTTCGGTGGAATAAAAAAATATATATGAAAAATTCGTAATAAATATAAAACACTTTCTTGTTTCTGTTTCTTTTTTTTTTATCAACATGACCGACCTACACCAAGAAAAAAGTCGTTGCCTTTAAACAGAAATTATCAAAAAGAAAAAATGTGAAGCTGTCAGCTGGTTGGTTATGTTATGACTACTGGTGAATGTTATCACGTTGCGTTTTTTATTATTTTTGTATTATGTGAATATGAATTTGTGTTATTAATTCATTCATAATGTCTAGGCGGTTTTTTAGGTTAGATTAAATGTGTTGAAAGTAAGACGTTATATTTTTTTTACTATGAAATAAACCCTACATCACAATGTTTTGTTGGGTATTCGAGCATATATTTTTGACATACATAGGGAAACGACATAGACCCATCGTTACTTTTGACAATATACAGTGTATGGATCACAATGAGATGAAATTTGGCACGACTTATTTATTTGACCCAGGGAAGAACCCAATTTGGGTACCGGTTCAGATTAAAATATAACGCCCATTTATATTCTCGGCCGATTTCATGTAATTTTGCACATCGAATGACGTTTGTCAACTCAGATTTACATACAACTGTCATATATATATAACATTCTTTGATTTAAAGTAAATGGTTTAACAAAGTACATAAGTCTGTCGCGTTAGTATCGGATAGGCTTAGAGACTGATAGGATATGTTTTCTGTTGCAAAATTAAATTTGTTTTCGGAAAAATAGTTTCGAAGGAAGCCTTCATACGTTTCTTTTCATTTCCATACTGGTCTGTACATGCCGATGGGATTTCTTGTCAAATTTAAAATTGAACATAGTCAGAGAGTTAGGTACGACGTTCAAATTTATTGAGTAAACCAAAAGCAACAAATCCGAAAAAATCAAGGAGTACATATCTCCATAGTGGATATAAAGGCGGATATAATTGTTGCCGACATTTCCACGAAAATGATTTACATTTTTTAAGATTAACGTACTCAGTACGGGTCGATCTACGACCATATTTTGTGTTGGTTAGAGTGGCGTATGAGCCACAAACAAAATAGCTAACGACAGTCGGTCTTCGAAGTTCGAAGCAAATGTTCTCATGTGGTGACGTCGAAAAACTGCAAAAACAACAGGTAGCAGAATAATACTTCGCTCAACTTACCCACTTGCTAGTCGAAAGCACTCCTTGTCCCGATAATAACATAGAAGCACTGTGGCAATGAATTGCCCACGTCCTACAAATTGCAACAAAAGCAACACTTTGGTACCACAGACAACCATTTAGAAACCCATGGTACGATTAGGAGTGTCGTAATGCTGCTGAGGTAATCAACACAGCGAGAGAGAATAATCGGGAGGACCGGTGGTCAGATGGTAATCAGGAGCATGCACCAACTGGAACAACTTGGCTAGAGGAATGATGTTGGAACCTCAGAATCCCACGTCCCGTGCAAAAAAAAGAGACACGACGTCATCTTCCATTGCATGTAAAGTGCTATCCAGCGTGCTGTGTGAACCACTGAAGCCAATTGTCAATGATATTATTGGAAAGCGGCTTCAGACCTGCAATTCTACTATAAACCAGATGTTCACACTGCGCCTGGAAAAGGCCCACGAAATACACATCGACACATTCCACCTATTCGTCGACTATAAAGACGCATTCGACAACCCAATCCACTCAGAACAATGATTCAGACAAGGTGACAGTTGGTCGTGTGACATCCTGCCGTAAAAGTTCAGTACACCAAACAGCACATGTTACTCGCCCATGACATCGACATAATGGGTCGAACATTACCAGCGGTAAAAGCCACCTTTGAACGAAATGAGAAGGAGTCAAAGTGGGACTGGAAGTAAATGACGAGTAAATTTCTGATGGTATCAATGTGCAAGACGTCCAGTAGACTAGGACCAACTGTGAAACTACAGCAACTATTTTATATACCTCGGTACCGCCATAAATAAAACTAATGATATCAGTTTTGCAATTCCGAGAAGAATAGTATTGCCAACAGATGATACTATGGTCTGAGTAAGCGATTCAAGAACGCCAGACTAAACACACCCTCTACAAGACGCTGATACTACCCGTGCTGGTGCATGGGTACTTCCGCAAGCAGATGAAGCAGCTCTTGGAGTGTTTGAGAGAACAATTTTCCGAAGGATCTACGGCCCGACTAAATTTGTAATTTATAAAAATTGTGACAGTTTATAGCCAATAGTTACAATAAGCCGATAGTTGCAATAAATCTATTCCCAGCCTAAATATTAAGGCCTGCCAAGTTTAGACCACACTGAATTCACCATTAGCTTTCTAGAAGGAGTTGGTCGATAACGTTTTCAAATGTTATAAAGTCTTGATTAAAAAATTAAACCCGTTCATATGATATTACAAAATCCATTTGGATCATTTTGTGGAGGAGGTACCGGCAGGGAGGCCTATATTCTTCAAACGTAATTGTAGATTGAAAAAAATATTACGATGTGCAAAGTTCAATGTAACCATTACTCCTTTCGTGCTCAAACATTTTTATATCGACTCCAAAATGTCTGAAACGGATTTAATACAAGACAGTTTTAGGGTCTAAAGCTAATATTTCGATGTGACACATTTTACATAGCAAAGTGTATACAACCTCATTAGTTCTAAAATGGCGAACAACAAACCTGTCTGCAACACATGCTTATATTATAAAAATTGTCAGCCTATGAGTGCAAAAAAATTATAAAAGCTCAATCGTATGGCGAAGAAAATAAGCCCAAAATTTTAGCGATTTGAATAATTTCACAGTCTGCTTTAAATCCGCAAATTAACAATTGTGCTATGAAAAATAATAATATCAAAATAAAAAAATATTTCCCCACTGTCCCACCGGCATCGTTTATCATTTATTGGCAAGCGTTGATAAAAGTTAGTGTAATTTTCATTATATTTCATTCATAATATGTTTTTCAATCTGCCCCTTCTTTGCCTCTATGATGGTCATTTGATTGGTGGCGGTTAAGTTTTCTGGATGGACGGATGATGGTCCATTGCTTGGTCGATGATCATTACTCGCTGTGCTCTGCAGTGCCGTGCCTTCTTTCGCGTATTGTTATCTGTGGAATTTTCCTTTTTTCCGCTTGAAACGAATTCAATTGAAGCGAAAACCTACTGTTAGTTAGTATTTGTCGATTATGTTTGTCGCTGTGACGCTGATGAAATGACTGACATTATTTACTTTTGTTGTTGTCGCTTTTATCTGTCACTTTTATATAACAACAATTTTTGTGGCGTTTCTGTCTCTGTGATAATTACTTAGGCAAATGACAAGAATTTTGGGGCTATCAAAAATTTGCACTTAAAAGTGCTAACACTGCAACAATAACACTATCATGCTGTTTTGAAGAAGACAGACATACAGTGGCAGACACCTGGAATTAGGTATGTATGAATGTGGGACAATGACGTATATATGGGGGTATATCAACTATTAGAAATAACTTATACATAATTGGTGAAATATAAAATATTAGCATAGACGGGAATTATGTGGAAAAAAGTAAAATGGAAAATTATCAAAAATTTTATAATGAATATGAAAACAATTTATTATTATTGATAGATGCTAATTTTTAAGCTATCAGACAATGAACTTTTTGAGAAAATGTGTATTTCGGTATAAAGGCTTTTGACGTATGTATCTTTGTCAATTATTTGATGTATACAAAAACAATTAGTAATACAACTAAACAAAGTAAGATAAGCACTCAAATCTTCTCGAATCAAAATAATTTTGACACATATTAAAAAATAATGAGCAACAGAATTTTGAGGGGTGCGAGATTCTTCTTGAGTGTGAAGGTCTGTTAGATGTTTATAAATAGCCAAGAAGGACAAAAACAGCAGAGATTAAATATTATTGTCATGGTCTAAAGAATTTCAACACCCAAATTTATTATTTTTTATAAAAAATGTTTTTTCTTTAGCATGATGTATACTTTTTCATGTGCTCAACCTAATTGTTATGGTTTTGAAGGCATCTTGATGTGCGGGAATAAAAATACGTCATTTTCTGTTCTTCATTTTGCTAATTTCTCCGTAGACTCCGTAGCAAACAAGTGGTGGTGTATCACTCATAATTGATAATGGTCCAATTAACAGGTCATGTAAGAGACGAAATGATTTCACCCTGTCAAAATTTTACTCAATCGTGTGAAAACGTAAACAAAAAAATTTACAGTTTGAGTGATTTTCTACCAAAATCCGAAACATGTTAAATAACCCCATCCTAATGTATATATTTCTGGCCTAATAATGAAAATGCATATTATGAATTATCAAAAATGGCCTTATCGTTTTTTAATATTCGCCCGTCATTTAAATCGCCGCGACTGTATTTTTTCACAATTTTTTATATCGAAATACTTTTGAAAATACATATGCGAATTTTGTAACACCAATGTAGAGGTCTGTAAGAGTGTCTGATGTATAAAACAACAGAATGCATAACTAGTCACAATCGATGAGTGGAAAACCGGCGGTTGTTAGCAACAGAAACAGTAGTAAAATAAGTATTTGCAAACATAACAAATATCAGGTAAGGGGATAGACGAAGAACGATGCAACCGTACAATGAATGGTGGTTGTGGTGGTATTTTTGGAAGGAATATATTTGTTTTTGTCAAAAAATAGAGTACAAATAAGCGCAATTATAATATAAATGAAATTTTTACATTTTTCGGAAAAATAGTGCACAGCGAGGTGCATGTACAAAATGAACAAGTGAAAAAGCGCTAAGTTCGACCGGGCCGAACTTTGGATACCCTCCACCATAGATATACTGACAGGTACTTGAAATGAAAATATAGGGAACATACCAAAAAATGGACCTATACGGAC